TAGATTATAGCAGAAATCTTCCCAAATCTAGGGCAAGAAATGGACATCTACACAGAAGAGGCAGTTAGAACTTCAAATAGAAATGACCACAGAAGATCCTGCCCATAACATATTATATTCAAAATGTCAAAACTATGAAACAATGACAGTATTTTAAAACTATGAAGGAAAAACAAACTCAGAAAGGTAAACACATCAGAATAATATCAGACCTCTCAGCAGAAACTCTAAAAGTCAGGAAAGCATTGAATGATATGCTTCAAGCCTTGAAAGTAAAAAATTGTCAGCCTCTTGAACAAATGATGCAAGAAAAATTGGCTATCCTGATACAGAAGAGTGAAGCTAGATCCCTATCTCTCCCCAAACGCAACTCAGATGGATGAAAGACCTTAACAGTAAGACCTGAAACTTTGAAATTTCTAGAAAAAAATACTTCAAGAAATCAATATAGGGTTAGAGTGATGGCTAAGTGGTTAAGAGCACGGGCTGCTCTTGCAGAAGACCAGGTTCAATTCCCAACATCCACATGGTGGCTAACAACCACCTGTAACTCCAGTTCCAGTGGGGGAACAGGGGAGAGTAGTAGGGGACAAGTACAAGAAAGATAAGAAAGTGGTATGTATAAAAATGTCATATAACAAATCTAGGGAAACTGCTTAGTAGGTAAAGCACTTGCTGTGAAACCGTAAGAACCAGAGTTTGGCTCCTCAGCACCTACACAAATGCCAGTCAGCTATGGCAGCCCACCTGTAATCCCAGTGCTCAGGAGGCAGAAACAAGGGATCCCTGAAGCAAGCTGGTCAGCTAGATCAGTCAAATTGGATTCAAATGCCTCAGTATACAATATGTAGAACAAATGAGGAAGACATCCCATGTCAACCTTTGGCCTCCACATGCAGGCATACACGTGTGTGCACCCACACACATGTATACACATACACACAAAGAAAAAAATGCATTAATAAAACTCAGTACTTTGTACACTGAAAAATATACAAAAAATAAAAGGTATCTAAATTATAAATATATATGCTTTTTGCATAATACAAAATTGTGCCCTAAAACAAACAGAAACTTCTAAGAAATCTTGAATAGCCAATCTTGGAAAAATAAAAACAAATCTGAAGTCTCATACTTTCTGACTTCAAAATGTACTATGAAACTACAGTAATCAAAGCAGTGCGGTAGTAATGTGATGACAAACATACACATTGACACAAAAGAATCGAGAGCCCAGAAATAAGCTCTATCATACATGATCAAATACCTTTTACTATAATGTCAAGGCAATTTAATGGGAAAAAGGCAGCCTTTTCAACAGCTGGTTCTAGGAAAGTATTTGCCCAAATGCTGAAGAATGAACCCGAACCTTTAACTTACACTACATACAAAAGTAATTCAAAGTGAGAAAGGGATGTAAACATAAGATTTAAATTGTTTGAACTTTTAGAAAAAAAAATAGGAAAGGCTTCATGATGTTTGATTTGGCAATGATTTCTTATCTATGTGACCAAAAATAAAAATGAATTAGACTACTAAAAACTGAAAACTGTTGGGGTGGTTGATGTAGCTCAGTGGTAGAATACGTGCTTATCAGGCCTAAATTCAATCCTCAGCACCTCCAAAAGATATGTCAGTGGTATAGCATTTGCCTAGCACACAAGAGACCCTAGGTTCAATCTCCAGTACCACATCAAAAAAAGTAACACTATAAATAAATTGAAAAGACCACAGAAGAGGAGAAAATATTTACAAATCATATATTTGGTAAAAGATTAATATAATACACAAAAAAACTCCTAAAACTTAACAACAAAAAAACAATTTTAATATGGCAGAAGAGTTGAACAAACATGTCTCCAAAGTAGATACGTAATAAATGCTTTAAAACTATGAAATTCAGCTGTAAACCTGAAATTTATAGCTAATTCTGAAAAAGATGCATCTTAGCTCAGAAAACTGTTATTGAATATGTCAATGCTGTTGTAATGAAATGTTTCTTCTAAGTATGTGGTTATTAAATAATTAACAAAAAAATAACCAAAACAAACACACACAAAAAAACTATGAACAGCACAAATTTCTAGGTAAGTGAAAATCAAAATCACAAAGTGATAACACTCTATTCTTAGCAAGGGCCTATTCTTAAAACAAGAGGCAGACTGTTAGCAAGCTCTGGACAAACTGGAACCCATTACCTTTACTAACAGTATATAAAATGGTACTGACACGAGTGCAAAACAGCATGCCAGCTCTTAATAAACAACATAGAATTACCTTATGATCTACCAATTCTGCTTCTGGAAATGTATCTACAAGAAGTGAAAGTAGACACTCAAATTGACATTCGCAGTAACGAAAAGGAGAACGAAGTCTTAAGTGTCCAGCAACAGACAGTTTCTTTAAGACAGTACATACTTAAAATGAAATATTATTCATACTGCCATTCATATGAGACTTGAAAGCATTATGCAAAGACAGCAAGTCAGTCACAAAGGGACAAATATTGTATGATTCAGTAGGTACCCAGGTACAGTATGTATCTAGACTAGTCAAATTCAAAGACAGAAGTAGACTGATGGTTTCCAGGGGTTGGAGAAAGGGGAGAATAGTTATCACCTCAGTTTTACAAGATGAAAAAAGTTACAAAGATAATGGCAGTGATAGTTATGTAATAATGTAAATGAAGTTAATGCTACTGAACTCTTTACTTCAAAATACTCAAATTTTATGAATACATACTTTACAGTTTAAGTGCTTAATATAGTATAAAGCCACAGACAAAAATCCAGTCTTCAACAAAGCATGCTATAATCCCAAAACATGGAAGCTAAAGCAAGAAGACCAGAGTTCGAGGCCAGCCTGAGAGAACTAAGAAGACCTGTCTCAAAATCAAATGAAAAAACACCAAAACAGCAACAAAACCTTAATCTTCATTGCTTTGCATTTAGAATGTTAATGAGATCACAGTTATAATACTATGATTTACTGTTCTCACAGTGTTTGAAATACATCTGAAACTTAGTACTCCTTCTATCTAATACCAACTCCTAAGAAAATGATTAAATTCTTAAAAGCAGGAGATATACCTGGTATAAAGCAAGAGAATGTCCATATCTCTGGAGAGGTCCCCTCGATGCAGCGCCTACATTCCATATACTGCTTTCTAAATTGTAACTAAAAGCAAGAAAAGAAACTAAATTAACAAGCTGATTCATTTTCAGCTGTTTAATTTGTATGTGCTTTCCTTTACTTGTATCCAAACTCTCATTAAACTCAAAAAGAAATATAATAATTTCATGTATCATATTGGAAATTTTTAATAAAGCCTCAGTCAAGAAATAATCTACTCTAAAATCCAATCACTTAAATATGTAATGTATAAGAATTTGAGTAAGACATTCATTAGTAGAATTAATTTGTCAAATTGTCTTTAATAATTTCAATTAACTGATTAACTTAAAAATGAGCTCTTCTAGCCAGGCATGGAGGCACATGCCTTAATTCCAGCACTTGGGAGGCAGAGGCAGGAGATCTCTGTGAGATCGAGGCTAGCCTGGTCATAGGAAATTCCAGGCCAGGAAGGGTTACAGAAAGACCATGTCTCAAAAAAAAAACAAAACAAAAATAAATAAATAAATAAAAAATAAAAAACAAGCTCTTCTGAACTTTAAAAATAAAAGTCCAGTTTTTCTTGGAAAGAAATGAAAAATTCTCCCCCAATTTACAATAGCCATTTGCTTGTAATATTTATGTATGGTCTTCACACATCTTAGGAGTAAATCAACTGAGAATTATATATTTCCTATACACAAATATAACTTATTTATTAATAATTCTTCTAAATTATGCAAAATAAATCCAGTAGTATAAAGGTTTTATAAAAACAAGTTACTCTTGGATTATGGGACACAAAGAATCATTATTATTTCTACTAGTCTACTATGTATGGACACTGTAGTTCTACACTAGTGTTTAACCAACAGGATTCCAGATGGGCAACATCATACTCTATATTCAATCCTAATTTGCCTTGGTTTCCTTCAGTGATGGGTTGCAACCTATGAGCCGAATAAACCCTTTCCTCCTCAATTTGCTTTTGGTCATGGTGTTTATCACAGTAAGGGAGAAACCAAACTAGAACACACGGCCTACCTTTGTGTCAAGTTAATATTTTTTTATTCATAATTTATTTAAAAATACTCTAGAGAAGTAATACAAGCTCTATACAAAACAAACTCCTGTGTACAATGAGAAATGATTAACTTTGGACAAACTGAATTTACATAGTTCCAAATCTGTATTTTAACAAGTGTGCTGGATAGCTTTAGTGTCAACTTGACACACCTGGGTTGAGGGAGCCTCAATCGGGGAATTGCCTCTATTGGACTGGCCTGTGGCCATGTCTGAGGGGCATCTTCTTGATGAGTGATGTGGGAGGGCCCAGCCCACTGTGGGTGGTGCCATCCCTGGGCAGGTGGGCCTGTGTTGCATAAGAAAGCAGGCTGAGCAGGAGCCGAGGGAGCAAGCCTGTAAGCAGCGTTCCTCCATGGCCTGTGCTCCAGCTCCTGCCTCCAGGTTCCTGCCCTGAGTTCCTACCTTGGGCTCCCTGATGAACTGCGACCTGGGAGTTATAAGACAAATAAACCCTTTCCTCCCCAAGTTGGTACTGGTCAGAGTGTTTTGTCACAGCAATGAAGAAACAAACTAAGACAACAAGTATGTACTGCCACAAAAACAGCCGTTTATATATTTGGACAAGGAAATTTAGTTTTAAAAGAATAGAATCTACAAATCTAAAATTAAATACTTACTTCAGGACCATTTGAAAAGAACTGTAGTTAAAAGTATATCCACCAATCACCCACATAAACTTCCCATGTAAAACTGCTTTATGTGAAGCACGACCTACAGAAGGACTGAAGGGCTTAACATTGGGCAAAATCCAGTAAGACTCAGTTGAAGGAACATTCAAAGAGCAATCAGGACCTATTTAAAAAAAAAATCAAACAACATACTGGATTAAACAAATATCATATAGAACCATATTAAATATAGATTAGGAGAACTTAAAAATATAATATTCATCATAATAATCAATCTACACAGTGGTACATACCTGTAATCCCGTCACTCAAGAGGCTAAGGCAGGAAGACTGAGAGTAGTTCAAGGCCAGCCTGAGCTACATAAAGTTCTAGGATAGCCTGGGCTACATAGCGAGATTTTTTTTGTTGTTGTTGTTGTTCCAAGAGGTCTTCCCTCCAAAAATAAAAAAAGGAATCAGTCTCAAATACTGACTTGCACCTAACTTGCAAATAAAAGGTTTAAAGGGGAGTGGGGGAATCATCAGATTTGAATATGCTCAAATGAATATCACAACCTAAAAAAATTGCTTAAATAACATGAAATTTCAGATTTATCTTAGTATACTACTAGAATATTAAAACGGAAATCAATACCCTCAAATCCCAGCTGTCACTTACCAACATTGTGACCCTGAACAAATCTGCTTCCCTTCCTATCATCAAGCTTTCACATATGAAATGGAAATAACATACTCCCACACATTAAAAGTTTTTAATTTTTAACAAAAAAAAAGTATAAAAAAGCATTTATAAATTATAAGCTATTAAAATATGAAAATAAGGATCACATTGTTCTTACAATCAGTAAGAACTAAAATAACTTCAGTATTTATATGTATATATAAAAGGATTTATTCACAAAATTTAATATAAAGTGATGATTGAAGAATTTATAGAAAATGTAGAAGGTGAAAAAAGTTATAAAGAGATACATAATCATTCAGTCAAAAAATATTTTGATTCTGGAGAGATAGCTCAGCAACTAAGAGCACTGATTGGTCTTACAGAGGATCTGGGCTCAGTTCCAAGCAACCACATGGAAGCTAATAACCATCCATAACTCCAGTTCCTGGGGATCTGACACTCTCTCCTGACCTCCACTGACACTGCACAACACAGGTGCACATACATACATTCAAGCCTCAAAAACTTAAATTTTTAAAAATTAATAAATAAAACTATTTTTAAATTGTTTCATAAAAGCACCACTAAACAGATTCAGAAGGTTGTGTACTTGTATACAGATACACACACGCACGCACGCATATGTGTAACCATAATAAAGAAGAGATAACAAAATTGGGGGAGGTCATTTGAAGAGTTGGAGAGGAAGGAGGGTAGAAATTATGTAAATACAGTACTCAAGCATGAAATTCTCAAGAAATAAAAACTTTTAAAAGGTGTGGTGGTTTGAATGAAAATGTCCCCCATAGGCTCCAAGTGTTTGGACATTTTGTCCCCAGATGATGGCGCTGTTTTGGGAGATCTTAAAGGTGTGGCTATCCTGGAGGAAGCACATGGGGGTGGACTTAGAGAGTTCTTAAGCCTTGCCAGATCTCCAGTCACCCTCTTGCTTCCTGTGCCTGTGTGATGATGTGAGAGCTTAGCTTCTGCTGCTCCTGGCTCGGGTCAGTGTTTATATCACAGCAACAGAAAAGTGACTAATATAAAAGGTAAAGACTCACAAATGATTTTAAATCTGGTGAAACTAAAATATACTTAAACAGACATGCTTACAGTTCTTTTACAAGTATAAAAGTAACATAAATTACATGAAACTAGTAAAATTACATCCACAGGCATACATGCCTGCTTTCTTTGCACTTCATTTTATTGCACTGCACAGATACTACACCTGACATAAGCTAAAAGTCAATGGCAGCCCTAAGCAAAGCAAGTCTGTAGCAGTTATCTCAGAGCAGCATGTACTACTTCCTTCCTGTCTCTGTATCAGATTTGCAATTTTCAAGCTGTGTCATCATTACTGTTTGGGGTCACCACAAATCACATCCACATAAGACAATAACCCTAAGTGATGTGTGTTCTGACTATCCCAATAACTGGTCAGTCCCCATTTCTCTTCCCTTCCTCATACGTATAGCACCCTTAGAGGCCAGAGAGGGCATGAGGTCCCCTGGAACTGGAGTTAGGACTGTTTAGCATCACCATGTGGGTTCTGGGAACCAAACCCTGGTCCTCTGCAAGAGCAGCAAGTGTTCTTAACTGCTAAGCCATCTCTCCAGCCCCAATATCTCTCACTTTAAATCAAAAGCTAGAAGTGATTAAGCTCAGCCTGGCGTGGCGGCTCACACCTTTAATCCCAGCGCTTGTGAGGCAGAGGCAGGTGGATCTCTGTGAGCCTGAGGCCAGCCTGGTTGACATAGCCAGTTCTAGGCCAGCTGGGGCTACAGGGAGATCCACTCTCAAAAAACAGAGAAAAGAAATGACTAAGCTCAATAAGGAAAGTAGTTGAAACTGAGATACATCCCCAAGTTCTGAATGCAAAAAAAAAAAAAAAAAAAAATTTCTTAAAGGAAACTAACAGTACTACTCTAGAACATGAATGACAAAGTGAAATACCCTTATTGCTAGCATGGATGTTGTAGGGGTTTGAATAAAAGATCAAACTATCTGCAGCATTCCTTTAAATAAAAGTAGACTCAAAAAGCAGAATATAGACCAGAGCAAGGGTTTAACTCCATTCAATTCTAGAGGTAAGAAAGATGTAGAAGAAAAGTTTGGAGCCAGTAGAGGCTGGTTCATGAGGACTAAGGACAGAACCAGTTCCAAAAAATGCAGCAGCAAGGGCTAATGTAGACACTGCAGCAAGTTTATTCATAGTTACCACTGGTCAATCTGCAGAAACTACATTGGAAACTTTACAGAAGGGTGTCACCATTCTAGACATCAATAAGAGGATCTGGGATTTATGATGGTCAAAATATCAACATTAAAGAGTTGCAAAGAAGTTGAAATCAGTCCCACAGATAATTTTACGTGATTCAAAACCACAGGGAAAAAAAGTAACTATAAATCTGGTGGACACAGAAAAGGAACTGGAAGTAGAACATGAACATATAAACTGAAATGCTGCAGTCTTGTGATAAAATTTTAACCAATAATTACTTCGTATGAAGGGGCAAAGAAAATGGCTTCCTAGGATAGAATCCACTGGTAAAGATTCCAGGAACACTGTTGGAATGACAGGACGAATATTGCATACCCAGGGTTAATAAAGAAGTCTGAGAGGACTAGCTCCAATTTTGAAATAAGTTCTGCTATGGATAAAATGTTATCAAACAGTATGACATCTTGCTACTAAGAAATTGTACATGAATAGAGGAACCAAACTGACACTGCAAACCTCACTGACATCTCACTTTAGGAAACTCCACAGCTACCTCAACATTTATTAATGACCAAGCTGATCAGTCAATAGCCATTGAATTGAGGCAAGATCTTCCACTATCAACAAGAGATAATGATTTACTATCAGCTCAAGTAATGGTTAGCTGGGAACTGAACCTGGGGTCTCTGTATGAGCAGCCAATGCTCTTAACCACTGAGTCATCTCTCCAGTCCTAAGACTGGAGAGGTAAAATAGGTACTCTACAATCAGACTTGAGGTAAAATAGGCACTCTACAATTATTGTAATAATTTACAATAATTATTTTATTTAACTTTTATTATAATTATTATAATAATTTACTCTGATCCCTCCCAAATTAATAGCTCTATTCCCATAATCTCTCATGAATTCAAGCTATTATTATTTTTCTCTTGGATATATAATCATCACTTCAAACTTAACAAATCAAAACTAAAACCTTAGGGCTGAGGATGCAGCTCAGTGCTAGAGCTCATATTTAGCATACGTGAAGCCTAAGCTCAATCCTCAGTGTCATAAAAAAGTAGACAAAATTTTAACTTTGTTCTTCAGTAAACCCAATGTCTTTACCAATATTTACCATCTGGCACTCCCATTTACCCAGTTGCTCAAAACAAAGACTTTACAACCTACATCCTACCAACCAATTTTTATACTCATCAGTATGAAGATATTATAACCTTTTCAAATGTTAAAATGTACAAATGTGTCAATAATTGTTATTTAGTAGCTCTTTGGTACCCACAGAGGACTGAGTCCAGGACCACTACCTACAGATATCAAAATCTGTAGATACTCAAGTTCCTTGTGCAAAATGGCATAGTATTTGGCTCATATATGTATATATATAATTTCCTAAATTTTATAATATAAAATTATGCATATATATATATAATTTCCTAAATACTTATTTCTAAATTACTTATAAACTTACTGCTAGATTTCTGCTACTATAACAAATACTTGACATAACCAACTTATAAAGAGAAAAGATTTATTTAGGCTCACAATTTTTGAAGTTTTCAGCCCATTACTGTTCGTCCTGTACTACTCATACTGGTAGGAGTACATGGCAGAGAAGGCTTATTCACCTCATAGCTGGGAGTGAAAGAACTGAAACAGGAAAGACCAGGATCCCACAACCTCATTGTGTACACACTCCCAATGACTTAAAATCTTCCACTAGGCCCAATTTTTTTAAGTTCTACCACATCCCAATAATGCCAAGCTAGAAACCTGCCTTTATTCAATACATCAGCTTTTAGGAGACATCTCAGATCTAAATTATAGCAAATACTTAATGCAGTGTAAATGCTATGCAGTTATTACACTTTATGTTTAGGTACTAATAGCAAAATTGTCTATATAAGTTCAACATAGAGGTGATGTATACAAATATAAATTTCAAGTATTGTCCATCTACAGTCTAATCTGTGGAATCTGTGGATTTTGGGGATAGTCAACTATGGCTGTATGTCAGGATTTCAAGTACCAGCCTTGCTTTCCTTCCCAATTTCTCTGAGCCCATTCTAGATAATCCAGATCTCTCTATAATAGGTAACACTAGGGGTAAGACTAGTCTAGTATTGCTGCTCTAGTCCAAGGCCAGCATCCATTTTGATTTTTGTCTCAGTACAAACGCCTTACTAATAATGATTTTTTTTAATTCTATAACCCCATCAGATTCTACTGAACTTGTCCTCTACAGATAATATCCTAGCCCAATTCACCATC